CCCAGGTCGGAAACGGTATAGCAGGGGACCCAGCAGGAGCGCAGTTGCCCCTTGGCGTGCCTTCGGGCTGTTCTCAAGAGCAAAAGGCCGCTCGGCTCCTCTCATTCTCGCAGCGCTCGACCGGGCAGCGAGTGCCAAGTCCGGGCTCCGCTCGTCGCTCGGGGGCTCCGCTTAGGAAGCCGCGCCGGGGAGCGCGGTGGGGCGGGGCGCGCAAAGGCGTGCGGCGCTTCAGCGGCGCGCCAGGGGCCCTGTCCAGATCTGGGCCGGCTTCATGCACGGGGCAGCCTCTGCGGCTTCCTTGTCTGCAGCAGCGCCACGTGCAACGCCGCTGGCCGCCCTTGCAGGACGAGGAGTGCGAGGACGACGCGAAGTTCAGGCACGCAGCCTCCTCGAGCCGCTAGAGAAACGCGTCTTCTTTTGCGGCGGGGGGGGGGGGGCTCAGTAGCCCGGATGTTTTCCGTAGTCCGAGCCGCGGCGGCAGGAGGGCTCACAGCGCCCTCTAGTGGCAGGCGGCGGGAAGGGCGACCAAAAGATTCCCGGTATTGCCCTTAAGGCGCTATAGATCGGAGGCAACCTGACCGTTGACTTTTCAATCATTGAACAAAAACAGCTGTGTTTCCCAGTCGCCCCCAGCAGCAGGCTCCCCGCTTGCAGCTCCTGCAATCCAGCCTTCCCCGCGCCCCGGATCAACCGGGGGCGGCGAATGGGGCCGTGCTTTCCGGGGGGCTCGGAGGTGCCCATCCGCCGCCCCACCGGCTCCGCCCGGAGATCTGGGGGCAGCGGCTCCTTGCTCGCGTTTCTCCAGAAGCCCGGTCGTCCCCTGCCTTGCCCGTAGGCCCTCGGAGGGCGTAAGGCCCCATTTCGGTACTCCAACCCGTTTCGCGGCCGCCGGGGACTTCCGCTGCGAGCGGCCGCCGCTGCACGTGGCACGGTTCCTGCGGCGCTCGCGTGGTGCCCGGCGTTGCTTCCGGCTGCGCATGCGCCCGGCCTGCCGCTTGGCGGGGAGACGGGTCCGGGGGCGCAGCGCTCCCTCCTTGCCGCGCCTCCCCCGCAGGGGGCGAGGGCTCCCCGCTGCTCCAGTCTGGGAACCCTTCCCCGCACTCGCGACGCCCCAACATGGGCACGGAGGGAAGATGAGCCAGAAGCTTGGCAGGAGAGGAGAGAACGCGAAGGCGTCTTCTCGATGTGCTGCATGGCAAATCCCATCCTCCGCAGCCAGGACTGGGAATGATGGGAGCTGTGGGGCAACACACCTGGAGAACACCAGACTGGGGGAGGGCTAGCTAGTGAAACATTGCGGGTTAAAGAATACAGACACCCACAGACAGGGTTCCCATGACATACTAAACCATGGGGGGGTGGCTTAGCAGGTTGAGATCCCCCCCATTCTGTGTCACAGCTTAACAGCGGGGGGGGGGAGCAAAATGGGAGGTGGATAATAGCTCCTGCATGGCGCCCCCTGGGAGACTGGCTGGGAGGGAGAGAGGAGGCAGTGCCCCAGGCCCAGGGCTCTGCCCCGTCTCGTCTCAACCATTCCCTGCAACACCCTGTTCTCAGGCCCCTGCATGCAGTTGCGTGTCTTAGCGGCCTGACGTGCAGAAGGGTGCAGGGAAAGCTTCCCAGGCTCCACGGAGTTGCGCCGGGTTTGATCCATGCTTGCTGGGATGCTGCTGAAGCCCAACACCGTTCTGGACACGGCAGCCTTGCCTCCCCGATGCCCACACACCCCAGAGGTATCGGACGACTGCCCCATTCGCTAGCGATGCCTGTCGGTTGGACCAAGTTCACCGGGTGTGCGTCTGCACATCGGGCAGGTGTTGAAGGCAGGAGGGCCTGTTGCAGGCGGCAGCGGCAGCTCTCTTTCCTGGGACAGGAGGGCAGGAACAGAAAAAGGCTCGTCTCTCGGGAGCTGTTTATGACCTGGCAGGCTGCTCCTCCCCAGGGCAACTCCCTGACCCTGACTATCTGGCTAGCCCAGAACCTGAATAGGAGGCAATGACGTATTCCAGAAACTCTATTGGAGGGCTGCACAAACCTCGCTTCTCAGGGCTGCCCCTTTCGCTCCCATCCATGCTGGTTATGGGGCCTTCACTCCGTTCACTGCTGCTCTCCAGTCATCTGTCCGTTCTCCTGGCCAGCTCAGTTGCTTCTTGTTCTAACCAGAGAGGTAATGGCTGGGTAAGAAAAAGGGGGACCATAACTGACCCTTGGACTGGCAAGCGACCAGGAGGGCCACGTTGGCGAAAACCGGGCTGGTTATATTTACAGATGAGAGGGGCAGAAAAGGCTTCCTTGGCTCTCTGTGCTATCCACAGCTGTATAAGTGCACAATTCTATGCCTGTTTAGATGGAAAAGTTGAACAACGCTCAGCATGTAGCAATCAGCCAGCAGGACCTTTTTCTGGCTAAAGGGGCACACAGGTGTACCCCAAACCTCTATTATTCACATCCTGTTCCTGCGGCTGCTATTTCCTACTTCTGCTTGCGCTTTTCTGCATTGTTTTAGCTCTTCTGCTTCCTCTTCGAGATTGGGTTCATACCAAACTGCACATACCAGCAATCCACAGACAGGAATTACCACACAGCTTCTGAGGGCCCACCTTCTGAGTTTAAAGCATCAGCCAGGATTGAGGTTTTGATTCAGGTGCTCTTGAGGTTAACAGCTCCCTTTCCTCTCTCCCTCTCAGCATGTTTTGTCTTGTTCAGTGGCTCTTTCACTTCCCCCACCTCACCCAAGGTTGCTTGCTTGCTTGTTTCCAGCCATTTCCAGCAGTCAACATTGCAATATTTATTGGAAAAATAATTGTGATTACTGGCAGGTTGTAGCTCCTTTACAGTTATGTAAGATGTGGTTCCAACCCCTCTTGAATGCGCACCTGAATGGGGTGAAGGGATCTGGGAGAGCAATGCAGTCTAGAGGAGCGGAGAGCCATGATCCGAGGAGGTCAAGCTCTCCCCAGGATCGACTCCTAGCAGGGTCACCCAAGGTCAAAGTGGAGGCACCAGACGAAGCGGTGTCCAGCTTCTTCAGCAGGAGTGGTCACATCAGCAGAAGAGAACGGAGCTCTCCGCTGCTGAAGAGGCTGGAGAAACTCCGGAAGGGCAGCGGCAGGGCAGCAGGTGGCAGAAGGCGACACGGGTGGAAGAGCTTACAGAGAGAACAGCAGCGATGCTTCACTGGCTAGCACTGTGCAGAAGAAGGCGATGGTAAAACACTTCCTAATACTCTTACCTTGAAACTCAGTGATGAAGCAATCTAAGATGAAAAAAAGGAATGGTGCCAGAAGACTGGACTTCCAGGTCAAAAGGGACTGAATTGACTATGTAGGATCAGCAAATCATAGAATCCCAGAAGAGTTGAGCTGGAAGGGGTCATCGGGCCCAAACCCCTGCTCAGGGCAGGACCCCAAATTAAACCACCCCTCTTAGATGGCTGTCCAGCTGCATCCTAAATTCCTCCAGGGTAGGAGCGCCCACCACCTCCGGGAGTAGCTGGTTCTATTCTTCCATTGCTCCCAAAGGGCAGGCACCAATAGTACTGCCACTGACCAGGGCAAACTGGTAATCATAAAGCAGGAAATGGAATGGCTACACAGTGCAGCAGCTGGCACGCACAATCAGACACACAAAGTGTTTTACTCTGGAATGACAAACTCGGAAGAAACCAAGTGGCCCTAATACTGAGGCAAGATGTGGCTTTTTCCTGCAGGAAGGGCCTCTCGTGTAAAGTTCAACTGAATGATATACATCAGAGTTCTCAGAAAACCTGTTAACATAAACATTATTCAGGTCTGTGCTCCAATGACAGATACTGAAGAAGAAAATTGCAAGTATCCAAGAGGAAATTGATAACTCACCAAAAGAAGACATGTTGATATCCTAGGAAACTGAAATGCAGGGAACCAGACAGAGACAAATGTTGAGGGTGATTTTGGGCTAGGAGTTAGAAAGGAAGCAGGAGAGCAATGCATAGAATTGTGTAAAGCCAAGAATATGTTTATTGTAAATACGTACTTCAGGCAACTGATCAGAAAATTGTATGCATGGACATCACCAGGAGAAATCAAATAGACGTGATTGGAAATACCAGATGGAGAATCCGCATTCTCAGTGCCCAAAGACCTGTAGCAAACTGTGGTAGTGACCATCAAGTATTGTTATCAAAATTCAAAGCCACACTGGGGAGAAAAAACACTAACAGAAGGATAGTGCCAAAATAGAGATTAAATAACATTCCTGAAGAATTTAGAATCCATCAAAAGAGCAAAGTTGCATTACTGATCTCATTGAGCAGGAGCCAGAACTGTGGACTGAAACCAGAGACATGATTACGGAAGGACACCGAAAGGCAATTCCTGTAGAAAACAGAAAGAAAAGGCCTAAATGTATGAAGGAAGAAACTCTCACAATTGCTAAGGACAAAAAAGATGTAAAGGAAAAAAGTGACAAAAATAGAATCCTGAATGAAACTGTGCCATGACCATCACACAGATACAAAAGGAACTATTGCAATGACTGGGTGCAAAGACATAGAAGAGAACAACAAAAGAGGAAAACCAAGAGACCGCTTCCAGAAGAAAGGGAAATCTAAAGCTCGGTGAGGAATGCTGAAAGACCAACAGGGGGACATGCAGTGGTACCTCGGCTCACAAACGCAATCCGTTCCAGGACTCTGGTCACGAGCCAGGTCAAATTTCCCCATAAGGTTCAATGTAAATATGGTTAATCCATTCTGTAAATATTTTTTTAATCACAAACAATTGAAACGAAGCAACAAAGGACAGTACAGTAGAGAACACGAACCTAGGTGGAGTGGGGGAGGTTATTGTGTGGAGGGAGAGTCCAAACCATAATTGTGCGAAAGCGATCGTGCTCGGGGGGGGGGGGTGGCCGCAGTCGTGATAGTGCTTGTGCAGGGAAGTCAGGTGCCGGTGTGGCCGTCACCTGATGCGGAGTTCATGACCTGAGGCATTTTTTCCCCAAAATTTCTGTTCGCGACTCGATTTGGTCTTGGACTGAGGTGTTTGTGAGCCGAGGTACCACTGTACTATCAGACCAGGAGCAAATAGAGAGTGCAGAAGAGATGAAAGGGTGAGCAACTCCTTTGAAATGGAATCCCTTGAAGAAGAGCTGCAGTATTAGAAAGCCAAGCGAAAGCTGCTCCGAAGGCACTCGCAAAGAATGAAGCCCCTGGAGTGGGTAGGATGCCCACAGAAGAATCCCAGGCTGCAGAAACCGAATCCGTTCGAATCCTAACAACAGCCTGCCACCCAAGATGGAAAGCACAGCGATGGCCCACGGACTGGAAACACTGAATATACATCCCAGGCCCCAGGAGCTGAGACGCAGAAGAGTGGAGCCCCCACAGGACCATCGCACTGGCCTCCCACACGAGCAAAGTGATGCTCGAAGGGTTGCAACAAAGAATATCCCCCTGTGTGGAGCGAGAAATGCTGGATGTCCGAGCTGGATCCCGAACAGGAAGGTGCAAACGGGCATCGGCTACTGGAGCCCACTCAGGAATTTCACAAGATGATCGATCTGGTTTATGGACCACAGCAAAGCCTTCGACTGCGTGGCTCACAGGAAGCTTTGGATGGCCCTGAAGGAAGTGGGGGTGGCTCAGCGCTTGACTGTCCTGATGCGTCACCTGCATCACGGACAAGAAGGCGCTGTGAGGACAGGACATGGAGAAACAGAAAGGTTTCCCATCAGCAAAGGTGTTAGACAGGGGTGCCTTTTATCTGCCTATTTGATCCTGCAGAACATATAAGGAAACCTGGATTAGGATCAGAGGACGGAGGAGTGAAAATTGGCAGAAGAGACATCACTAACATAGGATGACCTCTTACTGGCCGAAAGCCCCAGTGAATTGAAACAATCCCTGATGAAAGTGAAAGAAGAGCATGCAGTAGCAAAACTGTGGCTGAATATTGCGAAAACAAAAATCATGCTTATGAAAGTATTACCCAACTTTAAGGCCAACAAGGAAGAAATTGAAACTAAAACATTTTACATGCCTCAGCTCAGTCTTCAACTCAAGGGGCGACTGCGGTCAAGATGTTCAAAGACTGAGACTTGGAAGGGGGGCAATAAAGGAGCTAGAAAAGGGGAGACCGAGGCCAAGTTCATCCCCATGACGGCATTCCTGAGCACAGTGCATGGGTGTGAAAGCTACACAGGGAAGGAAGCTGGCAGGGAGACAATGGATGCACCTGAAACACGGCGCTGGAGGAGAGCTTTGTGAATACCCTGAACCGAGCGAAAGACGAACATGTGGTTCTTCGATCAAGTCGAGCCAGAACATTCCCTGGAAGCAAAAATGATGAAGCTGAGGCTGTTGTTCTTTGGGCACATCACAAGAAGGCAAGGGTCACTGGAGAAGTCCATCATGCTGGGGAAAGTCGAAGGCAGAAGAAGAAGAGGGGGACCAAACAGGAGATGGATGGACTCCATAACAGTTCTGAGCTTAGTACAGTTGAGCTGGACTGTCGAGGACGGGAAATTTTGGAGCGCGCTCAGCTCATAGGATCACCACAAGCAGAGACAACTTGACACCACAGCACACCAAAAGATGTGGCGAGGAATATGTCTGAAGTGTGAAGTTCTTTTTGCTGGTGAGTGTGGATTGCACACACGTGTGGTGGATGTGCGCAGAGCAATGTTCTGTCGAATAGTGAGCAGCTTGTAACATCTGATGCTTTCTCAGTGGCAGCCAATGTCCATCTCACCCCGTGCGGCAATCGCATTTGATCGCATCTGATAGTCAACATGCAGCAGCACGCGGTATTTGTTTCTGACAGCGGACATGCAATCGGATTTGGTAGATTCTGTGCTCTTGTCCCCTCCTTCATTCATTTCCTCAGGCAGGAAACCTCCTTTGGAAGAGGTGAAAAGAACCACAGAGTCAGATCTCAAAATGGGACGTCTCCTTGTGATTCCGGAATGGGAACGCCATGTTCTCAATGCTTTCATACAGATGCTCTGCCTGAATGCTCCTGCTCGGCTTTTCTTTTCTCCTCGGAATTTTCCAGTGAGTTTCCACGGCCTCGTACGCTGGTTCTGTGCTTTGCCTCCTGTCAGGATCCATCCAGGATTCTGGGCTGACTGAGTCATAACAGGGCTCAGTGATGGGGGACGGAAACGATGAGAGCTGGTGCCTTGCCCTGCCCTGTGATTCCTGGTCACCAGGCTCCACCTGGCCATCTCCTGGGTTATTCTCCCCTGGGGCGGTCCCCGTTTCAGCAAGCCCCTCACAGTGCTTTGCTTTCTTCTTCTTCTTCTCCTTCTTCTTTTTCTTGTCTTTGCACACCACGGAGTACATTTCTTCTATCTGTGAAAAAACAGCCATTAGCAAAGTGGCTGAGGTAGGATCCCGTTTGAGTGCTCTGACTCTCTAAGAAAGGCAGCTCGTCTCCTGAGATTCTGCACACAAGGGGGACCATACATCATCTGTCATCTCACACAGGACTTGGATTTTTAAAATTATTTTTAAAACCTGCATAAGGAACTAGTCCTCAGGTTTATTGGAAAAATATTTGCCTTCCTACAGATTTCAAGAAAGGCACATCCATTGTAATTATTTTATATATACAAATGGCTAGATTCACCACTGGACTAAATGAGCTCTAACACCCCCCCCCCCCCGCTGCCGCCCAAGCATTCAAATTAAAAAGGAGCTGGTAGAGCCCAAAATTTGAGACAATTCTGACTTTTGTGACAATTCTGATTCTGAACAGGCCAGCTACTTTCATTGTGTGTCTGTGGCCAAAGGCTGCTCAGCCAGGACTGACAATCTGTAATCAGAGTTGACGGAAAGAGACAAATTCAGAGTGATCTTTTCTTCAAACAGAATATTCTTCTTCCTTTGAAATATTTCTATTTACTGCCATAGAAAACAACTGAGAAATCCTGAATTTTCAGCCACCTGACTGGCACAAAACTTCAGAACCCAGAGAGGAAAGGAGATCACGCTCTCCAGCTCCGCTCCTGTTTTGTGCATTTTTAAACTGAATCTGTAAGCATTTTTTAAAATACACAAATGCAAACCTAAGGTGAGAGCTTAGCAGCGGAGCTGTCGGTGACCCAGCCTGGCGTCTGAACGGACAATCCTGGGGTTTCATTGCCAACGTGGCGCCCGCAGCCCCTGTGTGCTCTCTCTGCCCTTCCTGATTACAGTTTCATGAACTAAGATGCGTAAAAATTTAAAAAATAATACAGTGGGGACTGGCAAAGCTAGGTGTTGCTATCCTGCACTCCCAGGACTGAGTTCCAGAGGCTGGATTGGTGTGCGAAGGCTCAGAGCCCGTCTCTGCCTTGTTTGGCACTCTGGACCCCCACCTTGGGGACTGGCAAGTGCCCCACGGCGGCCAGTCTGGAGAGTGCCCCAGCCCCACTGGGAAACGACGGGCCTGCAAGGTTTCAGACGGGCTCGCCAGCCCCAAAACGTTGGAGGCCCTGCCCTCCCTGAACCCGGTGCTCTTTGGAGCTGCAGCTCCCATCAGCCCCAGCCAGGATGGCCAGTGGTCTGGGTGATGGGACCTGTGATCCAAACAGTGCAGCAGGGTGGGAAGGCAACAGGCTGAATTCGGATTAATTTGAATGCTTGGTGAAGCACGAGTGAAATCTTCACACCCACCGATTCAGAAAAAGATCCCCTCCCACACCAGAGTAAGTCTTCTAATAGGAGTAGGGGGCAGTATGGACCTGCAGGGAGGGAGGGAGGGAGGGAGGGAGGGAGGGAGGGAAGGAAGGAAGGAAGGAAGGAAGGAAGGAAGGAAGGAAGGAAGGAAGGAAGGATCAGTACCGGCACTTGCGCCGTGGGAGTGGAACCCGCGTCCGGCTCAGCCTGCTCCACTGGCTTCTTCACTTTCAAAACACGGGCATACTCGGCCCCTGCAGCCTGCCCCTCTGTGCCCCCCGTGAGCACCCGCGTGGTGGAGGGCGCAGGCGCCTCGACTTCTCCCGCTGTCACCGTTTCGTACAGCCCCTCCTGGGCCTGTCTGGGGAAGCTCAGGTTGGAGTAGGTCTGCTCAGGGGAGAGCAGCTCGTCCGAGGGAACCCGCGGCAGCTCCCTCGGCGGAAGGATGATGAAGCTGGAGCTGGAGGCGGTCCCATCGTCCTGGCTCAGCGAGGCGGGGAACAGCACCCTGGCCGCCCGGGGGTCTGCAGGAGACAGAGCCAAGGAAGAGAAGGGCCATGCTTTCCTCCTCCCCTGAAGTCCCAGCCAGCCCTTTCCAAGAGACCACCGGCTGCTGCAACCACAGGACCAACCGAAGCTTGGTGGGAGTTGTGGTCCGGCCCTAGGCTGTGCAGCTTCCAGCAACAAGACTCGGTGCCACAGGCTCCCCGAGATGCCTTGTCCCGCAAGTGCTGCTCAGATCACGGCCAGGCCCGAGCTGCCTTCCATCCCTTGAGTGCTGTGCAAGCACCGGGAGATGAGCGATGGCTTACCTTGGCCCCCGCAGTCCGTCGCCTGGAGCTCCTGGAGGCTGGTGGCCGATCCCCCAAGCATCGAGGGCTCCGTCTGTCTCAGCTGCACATGCAAAACCAGAAAGGAGGCTGTGAAGGGAGAGCCACTGTGCCCCCCCGCCCCCAGGACCAGGGAGCATCTAGCAGGCCTGATGTGCTGAGACTCATCTCCTGGAGGAACAGGAGCCCCAGCTGGAATGCTAGAGGGGAGCGACCGTGCCGGAGGCGGGGGGACAGAGCACTCAGCCCGCTGGGCTAATCCAGCCGGCTCGGCTTCCGAGCTGGCCGCCAGCAACGTGCCCCCACCCCCGGAGGAATCCCTGCTATTATCGCCAGGCTGGGACTGGGAGCAGCGCAGAGGGGTCCCCACAGTTATCTCCAGCCTGTGATTAGAGGTAACAGGCGGGGAGACGGCAACGGGGGCTTGGCCAGTGTTGGGCAGAGTGGCCTCCTTCCCAGTGTTGGCTGAGGCCTCCCTGCGGGAGGCTGGCACAAACAGCACGCTAATCCTGCACTGGCGAGTCCCTTTCTCCACAGGAAGCACGGCCTGGAGCTCCACGCCTCTCCAGTGTGGAGACGCCCCCAGCCCCTGGCCCACCCTCGCCCTGGCAGGGAAGAGCTGCTGCCAGCCAGCATTTCCCTCCCAAAAGTGTCCCTCCGCTCAGCATCGTTCTGAGGTCAGCCTGCTGTGCACGCCAACCAGGCGCCCGCATGCGTGTCGCTGCCCCGAGTCCTCACCACGTGTGCGCCAGGCATGCTGCACCGGCACAGCCATGTGCCACCCGCCTCCCAACCAGCATGCTGAGCGGGGCGTGGGGAACGGAGCACTGCACACCCTCTTGCCGCTGGAGCACCAAATGGCGCTGAGTGGCGACCCTAATAAGCCCGGGCCCCATTTCACACCTCCCACCCGGGGCAGAGAAACCGTCTCGGGGATCATCAGCAGGAGAAATGCGAAGGGGCAAGACGTGCACTCACGGTTTCATCCGGCAAGTCGACACAAAGGGGCACCCAGTTCCGGTCTTTCCTGAAGGAGGGAAAGGAGATGGGATGAGCCGCTGTCCAGCTGCATCCGCCACTGCCACCAGCTGGTGCTGGCCGGGGAGGGGAGGCAGGGTAGCCGCTGAGGCACCACCGCAACAGAGGACACGTGGCCCCAGACACGAGTGCAGCGATTTGCACGCGCTCATTCATATTACAGAGCCACATGTAGAAATAATGCAGTGGAGGAATGACATGCCTTACTGCAAGCACTTCTCTCTGTTGCCACCTCTGTTCCTGGACTTGGGGGAAGGTCTCTCTCAGCCCGTGGCACGCGCATGGTGGCATGCCACAGCAGCCAGCACGGTGGGCAACGAGCACTCCCACAAGCAACCAGAAAGCAGAGGCGATGCTTGTTTCTCAAAGGGTGCAGAGCAGTGGAGCTACGGAAGGCAGCTCCAGCTCACCAGTCGCCCCCTGGCGAGGAGTCCTGTCCCTCCTTTGCACTCTGGTCAGAAAGGCTGGTCAGAAAGCTCTTCTAAAGCCCACTTTGCAAGCTCAGGGGTCCCTGGTTCCACGACAGCGAGGACGCGATGCTTTGCTGCTCTGTTCCGGGCCTTGTCTGCACCTCCTCCGAAGGAGACCCGGGCCTGGACTGGCGCGAAAGGTGTGGGGCGCCCAGGGACCTACCTTTTGCAAAGGATGCACAGGGCCAAGAAGCCAGTGGTTACAGCAAGCAAAGAGGCTGCGGCGATGGAGGGGAACAAACCCCCGACTGCCCCTTCCTCCAAAGTTGCAGCCATCAACGAAATTCTCTTGGGTGCTGCCGGGAGAGAAAGCACAGCTTACAGGGACGTATTTTAGAACCATCCAATAACAAACTCATAAAATTAGGTAAGCAAACAGTAGAAACAATATTGAAGTAATTAGCAAAAGCAGAACTTTAAAGGCCAGCAAAATAGAAAGGGGTTTGCTTGAAGCTGAGCTGGAAAAGCCTTAGAGTGGACACGAAATGAATCTGCTTCAGAGTCGTGTTTGAAAACCCAGGACCAGCTGCCTGCCACATGGTAGCCTGTGAGGGAACCCAGGAAAGGGTCTCTGAATTTTAAGAATAATAACTATAATCCTCATAGAATCCTCCCCACTTTAGTGAGGAAGGCCGTGCACCGTTTTAGCCTGCCCTGCAGGTGCTAACTTCAGGTGAAGAACATCATGGTCCTGCCCTGCCTTTCCTTGTGTCATTTTAAAACTGGAAGATGGACTGGACAGCCCTTCTGATAGAGGACTGTCCTTGGTAAAATAGGACACCCTGCTTTTGAGGATGGACCCAAGGTACAGGCAGTGACAAGTGCTCCTTCAGCTACCCGCCTGGACACATCAGTTTTCGGAGGAAGCCGTGACCCAGATGGTACTTCTATCCAAGGTGTTCTCAATGGGTGCGAGGAACGTGGTCTTCCCAGGGGTGGCACCCAGATTATCGGCTTTTGCACACGTTCCCCTTAACCCCACATATACTGAATACAAGGAGAGAGAATTGGATCATACCCACCACCTCCATCTGGATCGCCACGTATTTACTCTTAATATGGAAGAGGCTCTTTGCCCACAGAAATCCATCCACAGAAATGCCTCAGAATTTCTGTTCTTCTGGACGTGCGTCGCACACGTGCAGAGGATGTCCCTTCTCACGCTAACGGCAACACTGGTGTGCAGCCAGTGGCTACGCTTGCTTATTTCAAATTTTCCATAGGCTGCCCCTTCATACCAATGAGTCTTGCAGAGCAGTCAGCACAACATCACTACAACCAAGAGTGTAACACTTAAATATCAGCACGGTAACGTTGAGAGTTGTAACAGCTATTTCAACCATGAAAAAACCAGAAAGATTTAAATGGTGTTTTGTCTTTTTAAAATGCTTTTAGCCTGGTGCTGAAAGAAATTGCTAGTTTCGCACCTGTCTACCTGCAACCGGAAAGTGGGTGCATGGGAAAAGCCAGTGTAGTATAAAGGGGTGGGAACTTGGGAGATCTGGGTTCCAGTCCCAACTCGGCCATGAAGCTCATGGGCACCTTTGGACCAGACGTGGAGGCTCAACTTCCCCTACCTTGCAGGACTGTTGTGTGGATAAAGTTAAAAGGAGGCCGATCCTGTGAGCCTTGGGCCCCTTGCCGAAGAACAAGAGGCATATAAGTATAAAAATAGGGTACCACATGGGGAGATAGAGAATGTCTGAGACTTCTCTTTGCAGAGGAAATGTTGCAAGCCCCACCCGTTTCAGTTTGCAGGTGTCAACCGATAGGACGCGCTTTGGTACGACATTGTTTCAGCTGCACATCTTAGAATCCATGTCTATGACGCCATCGAGCACCTGTTGAACTAAATTATTTAATTTTCTGTTTGATGTTCGTGCTTTTTGCTTTGCAAGCACAGTTTTCCTGAACCTCTCAGCCCGGCTTTGGGGCTTTGTTGTGGAACCCCAAAGCGGGAGAGAGATATCGTTTAACCTTCCGGAGCACTTCCGCTATTGAGAGGTACAAAATTAAGCAAGCAAAGCGATCCTGTATGAACAGAGCAATAAAGTCACGCTTTATCTCCATGGCCTCCCGCCAGGTGGAAGTGGGAAGAGGAGGACCTCAGGGAACAGTTCCTGAATGGCATTTTCATTTCAGCCGGCCGGTGGAGGCAGAAGGACTGTTTCCTGCAGAGTCTGGAGGACGTGAGCAAGGGCAGGTGTCTCCGCACCGGTTGCAGGAGCTTTGGCTCCGCCAGTGTGACGGGGTTTCCTGTGCCACTGAGCTGCAGCAGCTGCAAACTCCAGAACGCTTGTACTCGGGCTGCAGCGTTGCAACGGGCAGCCTCCGTCTTGCTGTGGCCTCGTTCACAGTTCCCGTTGCAGACGAATGGCTCTGTGGCTCGAGGCGCTGCTGAAGGCCAGACCACATGGGAAGGCGAGCAAGCGTGGCACGCCCGTGCCCAGTACCTTCCTGGCTGTTCCACACCAGAGTGTCTAGTTGGAGCAACAGCTGCGTGCAGGAATTACAAAGAGCCAGGCTGGAGCGGAGCCAAGCTCCACCCATCCTCCCATTTATGTATATATATATTTATAGGCCACCTATAATTGCCGAGGCCTTCCTAGGTGGCTTACAATGAATAAAACATACTAAAAACATATTAAAACCAATTAAAACAGAATGAACGAAACATCTATAAAAACAATTAAAAAGGGCCACGTTAAAAAATTTCCTAAAAAGGTATGTTTTTGCCTGGTGCCAAAAGGAAAATAGAGATGAATCCATTCAGCCATCCTCTATTTATTTATTAGATTTATATCCCACCTCCTTTCTTACACAGAACTCAGAGCAGCTTGCATCATTCTCCCGCTGCTGCTCTTAATCCCATCCCCACAACAACAACCCTGTGAGGTTGGGCTGAGTGTGACTGGCCCAGGTCACTCAGCTGGCTTCATGGCTGAGCGGGGACTGGAACCCAGATCGCCTCATTCCCAGACCCGCGGTCTTAACCTCCACACCACACTGGCTCTCAGTATTCAGTCTCCATCTGTGACCCGTGTAATTCCTCTGGGAAGTTCACAGGCAAGACTCTTGTCCCAGTATCTGAACGAGTCTCTTCACAGAACACAAACAAGAGAGCAAGTTCCATTCAGAAAGCAGATCAGAGAGCATTAGACGCTGCCCTCAAGCCAGACAGTCGGGGTGTTGCAGGCAATCTCCGGTTGATTCGAGTTTGATTTCTATGGGACTCCTCCAAGCAGGACACAGTACCTCCAGCACCAAGGCTGGACACGGGTGGTCATGGGCCAAGGGTCAAGACCCCAGTCAGATGCTCACCAATAACCCAGCTGCAGGAATGGTTTCTTCTCCCCATTGCAAGCAAGCGCTAGAGGTGTCGACTCGTCCCCCAGCGATGCGCAGAATTCGCACGCTCTGGAAGCCCCTGCGCCCCGTAGGTAGGGGGCCACTCAGCAGATGGGGGCACCTGGAGATCTCACTTCCAAGGCTCCCCATACACACTGCTGGCTTCACCTGTTCTTCTGAGCCACCTGCCCAGCTCTTGGAATGTGACACGAGGACAACGGAAACGGGTTTTCCATGCCCCTCTGGCAGATGAAAGGCTAACGCTGCGAACCGGGAAGGACCAGCCGGCACTGCCATCACGGGACAAGTGGAGGCTGCAATGAAGCTTCCGATCCTTGAAGGGGGACTTGTAGGCCATGCTCTGCAAACATAGGGATATTTGGGCTGCCTTTGTCAGAGTCTACACATAATTATTTCATAATGCTAGATGTTCTCTCATGTTTTATATTTTATATTTTTTATTTATTTTATATTGTTAATTTTAATTTTATATTGTTATTTTTGTATTTTATTGTGTTGTAAGCCGCCCCGAGGCTTCGGCAAGGGGCGGCATAGAAATGTTCTAATAAAATTTAAAAAATAATAAAAATATTAACATACAGAGATATATAAAACAGGTAATTAGAACTATGGATCCTTTTAAATTTTATTCAAAAATGGTAATGTTCCAGTTTATTTTTTTAAACAGCATGGGACTTTTTTTTTGGTATTGCACAGTTTTTAAAATGTGCATTGCTGGCAGTTGTCAACCGTTCAAAATAAGCAGTGCATCGCGTCGCCTTCATGTCCGTGCATGGGATTTGTATGTCTGCGTGTCCTTAGAGGCCCGATGCATGTGATTGTGGATGAGGGGGCCGACCTGGCTTGCATAATGGAGACCTGGGCGGGAGAGGGGGGGATGTTGCCCTCTCTCAACTGTGCCCGCCCGGGTATCTGGTTCAGCACTGCTCACGCCCAGAGGGGAGGGGAGGGGGGGGTCGCTTTGGTTTACCGAGCCTCCATCTCCTTCACGGGACTTCCAGTCCCTTCGAGGCCAGGGCTGGAGTGCCTCTACTTGGTGTTGGGCGACCGAGACAGATTGGGGATTCTGTTGGTGTACCGTGCACCCTTCTGCCCAACAGTCTCCCTGCCTGAGCTGACGGAGACTGTCTCGGACCTGGTGTTGAAGACCCCTAGGATGTTGGTCCTGGGGGACTTCAATCTCCATGCTGAGTCTGGTCTAACCGGGGCGGCTCAGGAATTCATGGCCTCCATGACGGCCATGGGGCTGTCTCAACATGTCACCGGCCCGACCCATGAACGTGGACACACTCTGGACCTCGTTTTCTCGATGTGGCAGGAAGAGGGTGGTCTGAGGGTGAGAAAGTTATGTCTGACACCCCTGTCATGGTCAGATCACTTCCTGGTGAGGTTTGAGCTCGAGAGCGGCCTCTCCCTCTGTAAGGGTGCAGACCTGATTATGTGGGTCCGCCCCCGGAGCCGGATGGATCCAGATGGATTCCTGAAGGCCCTGGGGGAGTTTCCGGCTGACAAGACTGGTGCTCCTGTCGAGGCTCTGGTCGAACTGTGGAATGGGGAGATGACCAGGGCTGTTGACACGATAGCTTCTAAGTGTCCTCTCCCACCGGGCAGAGCCCGCTCTTCCCCTTGGTATACTCCTGAATTGAGGGCGATGAAGCAGGTTGAGAGATGACTAGAGCGTAGGTGGAGGAAATCACGGGATGAATCTGACCGAACACACTTGAAAGCCCACTATCAGGCCTATACTGTGGCGGTGAAGGCGGCGAAAAAGAAGTTTTTTTCCACTTCCATTGCCTCCTCACAATGCCGTCCTTGAAGACGGTCCGGATACTTCAATTGGTTCAAAATAGAGCTGCCAGGCTGCTGACGGGGACTGGGCGTTATGTTCACATGACTCCAGTCCTCTGACAGCTTCACTGGCTTCCCA